GATTTGATGAGACCTCTACTAGACATCTTGTTTTCCCACACCTGCGTTCTTCCCTATGATTTCTATTCGGGCAGAATGTCATCAACAACCCTCTTGGAGTCTTGAATTTCTCATCTGACTTTCCACAAGGTTCCTTCAATTATGAAAGTTTTACTCTCTACCTTCCTCCTCATTATTCATCACAGTTATTATCAGAAATCCTTATAAATTAATGAAAAGTTACACTTAAGATAATTTCTGCATAATTCTTTCTGACAGAAAGTCCATATTTCAAAACAGTATTAGAAGTAATTTTGGAGATAACCAGATTTAGAAAAATACAGGTTTGTCCTTTTATCACTATAAAAAGGTTATCTAACCTGGGCAAATAGATTAATAGATTATTTTAGATCTTGTTTAATTTAATTTGCAAATCATATAATGAGAGGATTTTAAAATGTTTTTAGCATTGTTACCTCTAGCTATGCCTCTCCCCCAAAATTTCAGGACTATTAACTTGTTTGAAATATTGAAACTATGAAAGCTCTCTTAGCATTGTAGAGACTGTAAGTATTGGTTTATTTTTTTCAAACTATGTGTTCAGTCAAGAAACAATCAACAGAATATAATTTCCTTTTATAAACATTATTAGTATTTTGGTGGTGGGTGTGGTGTGGTAACATACTGAGAAGATGTGAAATGATAATCCTCAAAATGTCTAATATTGTAAATAAATATTGCCACAAAGATTATATAAATTTAAAAGAATAATAAAAATAAAAATATAAAAATATATATTAGCCATCCCATGTAGGAAATCATGTTTGAGGAAGGAAAAGGAAATCAAAATAGTCACAGAGCTATGAAAAGGGACAGAACGCTAGTGTGACCCAGGCATGGCCCTGCACTGTAGGTCAGCTGGGTTCTCAGAGGAGGAGAGCACAGCCTTTCCCAGTGGAGACTGGCTCTCTGTCCCAGAGAAGAGAGGGTGGGGAGGGACAGGGGAGTGGCCAGGAGTTAATGTTCCTTAGCCCATGTTCCCCAGAGAGAGACTCCAGTGTGCTACTGATCCATCACAGCAGCCTTGCTTATTTCCTACTTAAAAGCTGATAAACAGGTTGAAAAATGCAACATGACTTGGAGTACAAGTTGCTCACAGTGACTGAGACAGTATTTCCTACCAAAGGGCATAGTTGATTTAAGAAAAATATGAGTTCAAGGAAGAAAAATGATAGTTGCGTTTGTTACTTTCTAAATGAAACCTCAGTTTTGTCATCCACATGGCCTTATTCTATATAAAAGAGCAACTCAGTGATTTCTACACTGTATGAAAAGGTGAGCAGCTGTTATTTTACCCTGCTTAGTTTGTTATGCTATCTTCTCAATAATCAGTAGTCATTGAACATACACTTTCCTTTTGCCAATCAATTTTGTTTGTGAGAACCTACACTGTAGGTAATGTCTTGCATTTTTAGAAAAGTAAAGGGTATCTAAAATTGAAATGAAATTAACTTGTTGTGAAAAGCTTTATTTAATGTAGTTTTCTCATGTACTTCAGAATATTGCATTAAAAATCACTTTTTTACTGAATGTTTCATGACAACCATTTAGTTTAGATCATCACACTGCTGAGTTTGAAGTCACATGGGTCAGACACCATTTTCCTGAGAAAAGGCCAGTTATTTACATCTTTGTACATCTGGGTCTTTATGCAGAATTGGGATACTAAGAAACCTACAACATTCAGGATGCATTGATGAGGGGATACAAATAAAGTATTCACAGCACAGTTAAAATAAATGTTCAAAATTGTTAACAAAATTTAAAAAATATTTCAAATAAACAGACTCTGTTTCACAACTATGTCAATCCTTGTAAAATAGAAAATTGTTAAAAGGAGAACTCAGCCACCCATGTTAAAACTGCCAAAGGTCCTGTGATATCTAATGGAGAGAGTAAATAAAATTCAGAAAAAGACATTTTTAGAAAGTTATCTTAGGATGTGCTTTTGTATATTAAATAAGCTTTGAGTTAGTATTTTAATTTCATTTGCATTTCTATGAGTGCTCAAAATTAAAAAAATAAATCTGATACAGATGAGAGTAAAACTAAATGTAAAATGTAAAATCCCACTAAACTAAATAAAAATACCACTGATAATAGAATTGTCATCCAGATATTTCTATTGGTTTATATTACTAAACAGAGAACAGCTTATTTTTAAGATCAGTATTCCTGCCACATTACTATCCTGTACATCTCTCCTGGCTAGACACGAGAACATCTATTCTATCACTGGATAAACGATGAGCAAACTTCAAGATAAAACAAAAATCTTTAAGTTAAAGTAATAATGATAAATACAGTTAGTGTGATGATGATCCACTACCAATAATGAATAGGCTACAAGTGCATCTTTTAAGCCAATCTGTTAAAAAGATTATGCTTCCTACATCAGAAAATAAATTCTGAGTTCGACAACATTATCCCTGTGATATCTTCAACAAAGGAAGTAAAGATGAGAATTAGAATAAGTTGTATTATCAAAATATGCATTTCATTTCAAGTCACTCAATTCCAAGTTCAGGGACGGGGCAAGGGTACCAGTGTGGAGTCAGTGTGAACCATTTCCAGCTACCCATAAGCAGTGCATATAAACCACACTCTCACTTAAGCAATGAGGATTTTGTTTTATAGGTGTACAAGTTGGTACATAGATATGAATGAGGTTCTGAAGAACTATTTCTTTGTAAAATAATTTTTATTATCTTTCTTTAAAATTTAAAATACCTGCATGATTCTGTGATTCCCCTGATATTTGACAAAATCTGAGAGCCTGTCACTTCCTCTGGAATGTGCCTCTCCTTGGGGCCAGGAAACTCTCTCCACCCAGAACTGCATTTTCTAGGGTGACTACTGACTTCCCCCTCAGAATTTACCACTGGTCCTAAGGACATAACCCAACTCATTTTTGTGTCTTTGCTGTTTTCAATATCCTTAATACTTAAGACACTATGTATTTTGTAGTTACTTAGTATATATCCACAATAAACACAGTAATGACTATAAAATGTATACTGGTTGACTGCCTAAAACGCTTATGAAACGTTTTGGGTCACTGAAAACTCTATTTTTTGTAATCTCTGTACTTCACAAGTGTAGTTTTTAAAAGAAAATATTTAGGAAAGATGCTGTAGTTCAAAGTTTTAATGCAGAAGATTTAATACAGAAAAATAAGTACAAAACTTGAAAGAACTTTTATCTTGAGAGTGTGCTGTGAAAAATAAAAGACAGAATTCAGGATTCAATGAAAGAGAAAGGAATTTAAGATCAGAGAAATGAGAAACAAAATGAAAAGATTATAATACTTTCATTGGTTTGATACATGGGGATAAAGAGGAACTTAATTTAGAGAAAGAAAGGAAAATTGTATTATACAGAAATTTAAAATAAAGTAAATCTATAAAGTGGTAATAGTTCCAAATACATGACAACATGGATTTAGGAATATCTGACATCTATGAAAAAGAACACTGCGGTGTATTAATTAATATACAAAGACTGGATGGAAGTAACAAAAGTGTAAGACTTGGTACAATGCAGAGTAATTGAACATAACTTGATTCAAAGATACTTATTTTCAGAGCTGATTAGGCTGAGTCTACACTTCAGTTAGCAGTGGGATTCTAAATTCAGATATAAACATTCAGAGGGTGTATTATGCAAAGAAAATATTTACCATATCACTTTCATATTAGATAATATATATCTTGTGTTAATATTTGAGGCAGATGATAGATTTTCAAAACTCCTACTAAGGATAGAGAAAGCTATAAAATGTCTGATTTTACAGTTAGCCAAGTATAATTTGTAAATTCTCTGATCAAATTTTCTGGCAAACTTCATTTTCCTTTTCTTTGTCTAATTAGCCCCTAAAAGGGTAAGCTTATCTAATTATACTAAAGCCTAAAATTTGAAATATACATAGAATTATTGAAACAGTTTGGGACTATTGCAGAATTGAAGATAGATATAGATACAGATAGATACATAGGTACACAAATATGTGTGTGTCTGTGAGTGAGAGAGAGAGAGATAGCAAAATCTTATTTTATATTTCACATTCTGGACTGTATGTGCACATAGAACTTGCTAAGATACAATATTTCTAATACTAGCAGCTGGTGAGTGGCCAGGTTGGCTGAAGGGAACCAGACAGTGGAGTCAACTGGTTTCCTTGACTCTGGGCTGCCTGAGAGTGACTTACAGGTAAAACATCAAAAACAATCTGTAAGAATTCTAGAAAGGGATGATAAATTAAAATGCTTTACTCTGGAAAAATTTGCAGAAAAAAGACAAAAATGACCAAACCCATCAAGGAGGAGAAACATTTCTTTCCTCACTAGTGATGATTCCAAATCACCTAGAGCTGTTTGAGACTGCCTGTCATGCTTTGCCTTTTTTTGTAAAATATATTTGGTAGTGCGGTGATATCGCCTTAATTTTGTTCATAGATGGAATGCACAGGACATAATTCCCCTCTCGGGAACCTCACTGCATTGGTGGAATTCATCCTAATAGGGTTTTCTGACGTGCCCAACCTTCAAGGATTTCTTTTTGGTTTATTTCTGATTTTGTATATCATTATTCTTACAGGAAATAGCCTTATTATCATGATAACTAAGATTGACCCTTCACTTCAGACCCCCATGTATTTTTTTCTTGGAAATTTTTCCTTTTTGGAAATATGTTATGTGTCAGTTACAGTCCCCAGATTATTAGCTGACCTCTGTAGACAATACGGAAATATTTCACTGCTGGCCTGTGCTATTCAAATGTTTTTCTTTCTGATCTTGGCAGACACTGAGTGTTTTATCCTCACTGCCATGGCTTATGACAGGTATGTGGCCATCTGTAACCCACTACTCTACCCTGTCATCATGAACAGTAAGCTGTGTGTTCAGCTGGCAGCAGCCTGCTGGTGCACTGCAATCCCAATTAATACCTTGTTCATCTCCATTGCCTTCTCTTCAACCTTCTGTGGATGTAATAGGTTGAATCACTTTTTCTGTGATGTACCCCCAGTTATCCAGCTTGTTTGTGGGGACACTTTCACAATTGAGTTGCTGATCTATGTGCTTGCCACCATAGTTGTTGCTGTGCCTTTTGTACTGATACTTGTATCGTATGGGAAAATAATCTCCACCATCCTGAAGCTGCCATCAGCCACTGGGAGAGCCAAGGCCTTCTCCACTTGCTCTTCCCATCTCATGGTTGTGACTTTGTTCTTTGGATCAGGCATCATCGTGCATTTTAGACCTAAATCCACTCACTCAATTGGAATGGACAAATTCTTTTCTCTTTTTTATACTGTCTTGACTCCTGTTTTTAACCCCATTATATATTGTCTGAGAAACAAGGATGTTATGGTGGCCTTGGGAAAATTCCTACAGAAATGGATTGTATAGTGATTCTACTACATAATTTCTTTAGTTTCTTACTTGTAACCATTTCCTTTTGATTTTCTTCCATTTTGCTAAGAATTTTTCTGAATAAAGCTTGTATTTTTATCTGTCATAAAATAAACTAAGTCACTATTTTTAAGTCAAAATTTCCAGACTCAATTCAAGTTATAGAAATGTTGTTTGAACGCAGAGAGTCATTAAAGGCTGTTGCTGCTATTATCTGCTTTTTATTTTCAAAAAAAAGGACACTTAATTAAATTGGTTTGACTGAAAAGATAGTAGTAGCACAAGTTAAACCAACGATGAATTTTCTGCTTCTGCTCATTATCTGCATTATAATAATACACAGTAAAGTAAAGAAGAATTAGAAACCAGTAACCTTATGTAAGTTAACTTACTCAAACTAATTCCCTACTGATGAATTCTCATAGTCAAAAGAGGCCAGAGGCCTTAGTATCTTAGTTCTGGTTTGAGTCTTTCTACAGAATGCATCTTAAGTCCCTTAACCTTTTTGTATCAATTTAATATGCTTGATTATAGTTTTGATATATAGGTAATGAACAAACATTAAAAAATAATTGTATGAGGAAAAGCATGTTAGTAACTTAAAAGAAGTTATAGATGAAGCTATCAATGTTAGCTCTAGGTATATGTGACACTCCCCAACTGTTGTGAATACATCCATTATTTTCTTTTAGACATTTTGAGTGACTTTAATGACAAAAAAATCACTATGTAGGAATGTATGAAACACAAATTTTAATATTAACATTGTGTTATTTGATAAACCCATATTAGTCATATTTTTTCCCACATCTGTTTTCTTCCTCGTGACCTCTGTTCCTTAAGCTTGTATCACCAAACTTCTCAGGCTCTTGAATTTTAAATATTTTTGAGATAAAAATGATAAACCTATTTACAAAATACAACTTTGTTCTTTTATCACTTGAACAGGATTATTAAACATAGGTAACTAAATCAAGAGATAGTCTTAACTTTTCTTTGCTTGAATTTGAAAAACAGCAGTGTTACCTATAGCTATTCTTCTCCCCCATTATCTTAGGGCTATTATCCTGTTTGTAATGTTGAATTTATGAAAGCTCTCTCAGCAGAAGTAAAGAGGGTAAGTATTTGTATATACAATATTTGGTTGATTGGTTTTAAATTATGTGTTCAGTTAACAACCAGCCAACAGAATATTACCTCCTTTGAATAACGTTGTTGCTTTGCTGATGTCTGTGTTGTGTTGAGGATGTGTGTACTTGTGAGCCTTAAAAATATATAATTTTGTAAAACAATATTGCCAATTATATAATTAAAAAGAAAGATAATAAAATGTATAAACTTTGAAATGTATACTAGCCATTTCATGTAGGCAAGTTGGAGGTGGGTGATGGAAGTCAAAAGTGTCACAGGGTTATGAAAAAGGATGAAACCCTAGTGTGGTCAGAATTGTCCACACGATGTGGGCGAAATGGAGAAGGGGAGACTTTAAATCAGCTGGACTTCTCAGAGGAACAAAGCACCTCACTAAGGTGCCCTGTGAGGATGAGACCTTGAGCTACCACATATTCTGCAGAGACAGGAAAGTCACTACCATTTTCAATTCTGGGAACACTATGGAACTGGCTGTATTTGATGGGGAAATTTTTCCAAACTTTCTAACGACAATGTGTCCAGTCTGGTCAGGAAGATGTTCTTCACCTGTAGCACAAATCTCACAGGAAACATTTGCAGCAGTCTGACACAGAGAAGAAACTAGATGTTGTTGGGACATAGTATTCTCCAAAGTTGTTTGTACAGGTTTGACCATACCGATGCCAAGAGATGGCAGCTGCATCATCACCAAATAATTTAGAGGAGATTTTATGGTGCTTATCAACAGCATGAGAGCGATGACACAAATGTGTGATGTTCAGCCCACATCTCTGTCTTTCAACAAGAATCAGAGAAGGTGGACCCTGGGATTCACCATTTTGCTGGTATCTCATCTTCAGATATTGGATCCTTAATAATTATAACATTTGTTTGATACACATCACCTGTGTAAAATCTCATGTTTGTGTACACATACACACACACACATATGGATACACACATTTATACTTATGTATACACAACCACACAAGTACATATATTTCTTTGGGTAAAATTTCACTCCTTAACACAGCATTTGATTGTGTGCTTGGCTCATTCCCACATCCCCTCACATGTCCGAGACTATTATGGAGTGTGAACAGGTGCGTTCTCCATGAGGTTACAATGAATAGTACAATTGTAGCAAATATGACCTAAAAGGGAGGTATCGTGACTACTAACTGAGATTTGTCTGCAATACAGAGACAAGAAATCAAACACAGACTAAGATTTCCAGCAGAAATCCAGTGTTGGACAAGTGGATGAATGATAAATGGATTGTTTAGAAGCTAGGTGACCCATTGAGTGCTATTTCACTATTGATTCTAACAGAGGTCATGGTGCTGTGATTTGGGACACAAAAGAAAAACAAAGGACTTCTTAACAATATAAAATTGGGCTTATTTTCCATATAAATTGGCAATGAAAATTTTATTCTCAATTATCAACCTTCTTTTCCTTAAAACTTAAATGGTGTGTGTGTGTGCACATGTGCTCACATTCACAGGGGGTTGGGAGTGACACATAAGGTCATTGGCAGGAAATCAGTTTAGACCCTGCCTTGAGAACAACTAGATCAGATCAGGTCCTAATCTAGGGAATTTCTGTTTTCTTCCCTATATTCCTGTTTGCTTAACACAGAGCAGAATGTATGCTGAGGCTAAGTGAAAATCTGGTATCATTCAAGTCCTCTTTTTTATCAACTACACTATATGGAAATTGTACACTCAGATATGGCAGTTCACATATCACACCACCAATTCTTCACTTGTGAGCAAAGTAGATTTCATTAAATATTTTGTTGTGGATAAAAAAAGTTTTACACAGCTCACAATCATGAACTTTAATTTAAAAACTCTTAGCTGGTTTATTTGTTATTTTAATTCCAATCTAAAATTGTGTAGGGGTTGTTTCTGATTTTTCCCAAGAAAATGCTCAAATTCATTGCTATTTTCACCTGAAGGACAGTAGGTGCTAAAATTGTTTCCTCTTAAAATTCAAGCTATTGATTCCATTCCTAAGCTGAAAATGTTTGCTTACACCTTACTCACATGGACTCTGATATAACAAATTAGTTAGTTACAGAAAGGGCACATTTTTTCAGGCATTCTGATAGATAGATGATAGATAGATAGATAGATAGATAGATAGATAGATAGATAGATAGATAGATAGATAGATAGATAGATAGATAGCGTCTGATAATTTAAATGACAAGTACGAAAAGCTGACATTGTAGATGTTGATGACATGATGTTAGAACTAAATGTTTACAATTAACAAGTCAAATGAGTCAGAGTTGAGTGTTTATAAAATAGAAGTAATGTCAGAATAGAAGAAAAAAAAATGCCATACAACAAAGGCTAAGGGCAAATTATATTGGAGGGATACGAGGATGCTGCACTTGAAATGTTTACTTTTTGCAATAATAACAGGTCACTTTTCATATAGTGAAATGTGTAGGGTCAGACTAAAAGATGAACAGGAGTCTAATATTAAACATTGTGAACACGGGGCAATTGTAGCTACATATTTATTGTTTTTTAATTTATAGAAAAAATTGAATGAGTGAATGAATGAACAATAAAATTCACTCCATCTTGACTCTCCTTCACCTTAAAACACACATAATGGGGCCTTCCCTGGTGGCTCAGAGGGTTAAAGCACCGCATTATGAAGCTCTCCAAAACGAATGCAGCACGAGTTCGATCCCCCTCTAGGGAGGTGACCCACATGGCTGTGGCAGACCTCTCCTGACCTGCCCACTGCTCCCCTCAGCAGTGTATTTCAGTCTGTCTGCCTGTTCTGCTCTCCCCTCTGTCTGGTGATCCTATCACCACACCTCTGGCCTGTAACCCAGTTCTGTAAGCATAAATAGTAAATCTTTTCAAAAATAATTTAAAAAATTCCTACACAATGTCGTTTTTACATTCATTCTTTCTCAATGTATAAAACTCAAACATCAGTGTCCTACATCTCCTTGTCCACATTCATTTTTCTTTCTTATAGAAATCCCTGTAAATAATGATAAGTAATAACTGTATGACCAGAGGGCATTGGCAACAATTTGAATGAAGCATAAAGTGTAGAGACTATGCAGGTTACATTTTTCTGAAATAAAGTGACGTAAAAATATGAAATTGAGTATCCTCATTTCCATACAGAAATCCAGCCAGCATTAGCATGTGAATGCCATCTATAGCCTCTCCCAGTGGAGACATTCTGTACTCCCCAGAGGCAAGAGGATGGGGA